AAGATATCCAATCCACTTCGATTACTATACTGAATGATTCGAAGGACAATTTCTATATGATATCAGGAATGTTCTTTAGAAAAGTAAAAATACTTAAGATTGGGCAAATGGCAGGATTAAGTAAGTGAATGTAAAAGTTACTGAATGTTTAGAGGATTCGAACATAAGAAAAGTGTTTAAATGCAGAAAGAAATAAATGACTTCGAATGTAAAGGCTTTAATGTAAAGGCATAAACGTAAAATTGTTTGAAGCACAAATGAAATGGAAGTGAAAGACAAAACTGGAAAATGTAAAGAGTTTTCATTGAATTGTAAATGTTGGTGTTATCATACGTACATCTTTCGAGCATTCGTTTCCCTATCCATGCGGTATTTTGAATGTTTACTGAATTTGTACAACAGATATGACACCCTGAAATCCTAACAATAAGACCTCTATTTATACTACTTCGACCATAACGGTCTTGTTATCAGAATCTGCCACGTTCGAAGCATGCAGAGCATTACTTCCCTCTAGCCTCCACGCGTCCTCGAACGTTCCAATGCTTATGTATTTTGAATTTCCAATATCCCGCTCACGTTTGTATTTCAAGCGCCTTGGTACCTTCATTTCGAATTCGTTTCGAAAACAACCCTCACAAATATAGTCTCATCATTATTTCGAACAAGGCTTTAGACTTACACTCCACAACTATCATTCGAAACCTTGAACTTTAATATTTCCATTCGAAACAAACAGTCTCTTCCATTCCAAATCATCAAACTTGCTTTATTCAAACAAAGTCCAATCGTCTTATTTCGAATCATAATATCAAAATCTTCAGCCAACAGTGACAAAGGTACCTTAATGAACCAATAAGTCTTTTGTATTGGGTCGGGTCGACATCATAATTCATCTGAATCTTTCGACAGTTGCAGTCTTGGTTCAGTGAATGTCAAAGTCGAGTTGCATTCTTCCATCTCAAATCTCTTGAGGATTTCACTTGCATATCTTCTTTGATGCATCATCAATTCTCTACTACTCTTGTAGAATTCAATTCCAGTGAAATATGAAATGTTTCCTAGATCAAACATTTCAAATTCCTTTCTCAGATCACCTTTGAAGTCTTCGATCTCCTTCTTACAGCTATTTGTTACTAACAAGTCATCGACATAGAGACATAGTATAAACAATTCACTCTTGTTTCTTCTTACATATACTTCATGCTCAATTGTGCACTTCTTAAATTCCTTCTCCTTTAGGAAATTTTCAATCGTATTATTCCAAGCTCTTAGTGCTTGTTTGAGTCAATACAGGACTTTATGCAGCCTGTATACCTTTCTCTCTATGCCATGCTTCACAAACCATCTAGTTGTGCAACATAAACTTCTTCATCTAAGGGTCCATTTAGGAATGCATATTTCAAGTTCATTTGAAATACATTCCAACTGTTTATTTATGTTATACCAACAATCAACTTTATTGTTTCGATTCTAGCAACAGGTGCAAAAACTTCATTGAAGTCGATTCCTTCCTTCTGAATAAATTATTTCGCCACAATTCTTACCTTGTGTCGAGTTACTTCACCTATGGAATTCAACTTCACCTTGTATACCCACTTGAAATAAATTTCCTACTTGCCTTGATTCAATTCGACAAATGACCAAGTGTTGTTGACTTCAATGGACTTCGATTCCTCATTCATTGCTTTCATCCACTTTGAATCCTTCAATGCCTCAACTGTATTGACTGGTTCAACATCTGTATAGAAAGTATAGTGTACCAGATCACCTTTATTATCAACCACATCATTTGTTGTAATCACACAATCTTGCAACCTTGCAGACACATGTCTAGTTCTCTGAGGTTTTCTTGGACCTGCATCACCTCTCATTTCTTCTTGTCGAACTTCTTCTCTTTCGACTTCAGTGGCTTATTCTTCTCATAAAATTCTCACTGAATCTTTGTTTATATTTTCAATCTAATCTCATTCTTTAAACTCATCTATGATAACGTCCTGGTTGATCACTAATTACTTGTTCACTGGGTTGAACAACTTGTATCCTCCAGTTGAATGATATCTTATTAGGATCATTTGACTCAACTTGTCATTAAATTTTCTTCTCAACTGATCTGGCACATGTCTATGTGATATAGATCCAAACACTTTCAGATGACTTAAGCTAGGCTTGACACCAGACCAACATTCTTCTGGCATAATTCCTTCTAGCTTCTTCATCGAACATCTATTCAAAATGTATGTTGCAGTTGACACAACTTCACCCCAAAACTCTTTAAGTAAATGCTTGCCTTTCAACATACTTCTCACCATATTCATGATGGTTTGATTCTTCCTTTCTACAGTTCCATTCTGCTAAGGTGGCACCACCTCATGTACAATCCCTTCTTTCTCACATAACATGTTAAAGTCTTTCGACACATATTCTCCACCACCACCAGTCCTTAAAATCTTAAGCTTTTGGCCACTTTGTCTTTCGACCATAGACTTAAACTTGGAAAATAACTCGATCACTTCATTATTCTTCTTGATCAAGTAAGTCCATATTTTTCAACTAAAATCATCAATGAACATGACAAACTACATGTTACCTCTAGTTAAATCCACTTGGACAGGACCACATACATCAGAGTATATGATTTCAAGAATAGCCTTCGACTTGCTTCATGAATCCTTGTTGAAGTTATTCTTGTGCTGTTTCTCCTGCACACATTCCTCACACACATAGTTTGGAATGTCAATTTTTGGCAATCCTGAAACCATATTTCTTCTTTTTAAATCTCTGATGTCTTTGAAGTTGAGATGACCAAGTCGATAATGCCATATTCATTCATACCTGCTAGTTGCAGTCGTAAGGCACTTGTGCTCCATCACATTTAGTTCAATCTTAAAGATTCTATTATGAGAAATAAGGGCCTTCAAGATTAATCTTCCTCTTGCATCGACGACTCTCATCATCTTGTCTTTGATTGACATTTTGTAATTATTTTCGACCAACTGCCCCATGCTGAGAAAATTGCTCTTCATGCCTGGTATGTACAACACATTGGAAATTACTGGCCTTTTTTCATCTTTCCTCATAATCAGAACATCACAAATACCTTCAGTTGCTAGAGTATTGTCATTTGCAAATTTCACCATGTTCTTCATCGAGGGCTTTATGTTGACAAATCAATCTTTCCTTCTAGACATATGTGATGAGCATCATGAATCCAAGTACCATTGGTCCTTGAATCTCTCCTTATCTCTTGTTGTGACCATCATCATCATCTCTTCTTCTTCATGTTTTACAAACTTTACATCACTTTCTTGATTCTTTCATTTTTATGGATAATCCCTAGAATAATGAGCATACTTATGACAATTGAAACACTAAATGTGACTCTTGTCAGGTTTTTGACCACCACTTTTTTCTCTACATCCAGCACTACCTCTTTGGTTGCCTTGGTATGAGGGTCTTCTCTGATTCGACACAATTCCTTCATGTTGGCATCCTTTACGAGTCAAATTATTGTAGCCTCCTCTATATTTATTGTCAAACCATTTTCCTATGCCTTTCTTTTCTCTTGCTGACTGTGCCTACAAAGCCACATCACTCTTCGACTTGCCTGCAACTCTTTCAGCCATTCTTTGTTCATGATCTTTGCAACAACTGATCTTGACGTCAGCGCTTCTCCATATACTTTGATTTGATTCACTAGTTATGTAACCCTAATGAAGAAATCTATTATACTTCCACTTTCTTCCATCTGAAGTAATTCATATGTTCTTTTGTGAGTTTGTAACCTCACATCTTTCACCTTTTTTGTACCTCCAAATGAGTTTTTCAAAATTTCCCAAGCTTTTTTCGCAAATTCTACATCACTCACCTTTTTGAAATTGTCTGGACTCAGACATTGATGAATTATAAAGAGAGCTTTATAATTCTTCTTCTTCAATTCTTAGTGTGCAGCCTCTTCTTCTGTTGCGTTTTCTTTAAGCGATTTTAACCCTTCTTTCACAAGATCCCAAAGATCTTGACAATATAACACGACATTCACCTGCTTGCACCAATTCTCGTAGTTATCAACTTTCAGAGTTGGAAGACGTGTTGGAAAATGCCCATTCGGGTGATTCATTGCCATCGTGATTTTTCTGCCTTGAATCGCTCAACCAGAGCTCTAGATACCAGACATTGGAAATTCACCAAAACCTATGATGAATTTCAATTAATCTGAGGAACAAGATTGTTATCACTACACAATGACAATGAAAAGAACGAAAGATAGAGAAAGAAGAAAGATGATGATTTCTGCAATGTAACTTTTTACCCACAAACTGTGAAAAATCTTATTCATTTTGCAACCGCAAAATCCTGCGAATACAAGTTGTGTTACAAAATATGAATTACTCTCTCTATTAATAAGGAATTTGTTTACTCCCTAAATTAAAACTCACAAATACAAAAACCCAAAATACATAATTTAATTAACCGTCAATAAAATTTGTTTCTAATATGAAAGGGAGTTAAAAAAAAATAGAAAAAATATTTTTGATAATACCATCCGAGGGATCGGTATGATTTTAGGCGTGTCACTTAAAATTCGCATAAACTAAGTCCAATGACCCTATATTTGGCATACAAAAAAATACTACTATTTGTGTAGGTATATTTCTTTTGAAGTTTGATATCAAGTCCTCTATAAATAGATTTGTTAACTCATCACCTTTTTCATATTTCACCGTTTCACCTTGCATAAGCCCCAAATTTTAATCTAGCAGCAGTTACGTTTATTCAATAACGACGTTGGTTCGTCTTTCTACTGTAATTCTTCATTCTACCGGACGGCAGCTACACGCGCCGTCTCGTTCTCGTGACACTGCATCACTGTAACGGCCAGCGGCCTCTCCGCACCACCGCGATTGCGTCGCGCTATTGGCCGCGATTAGATTGCTACACCATCAGTTAGTGTCCTTTATTAGAAACGTGCTTATGACGTAAGTTTTTCTTGTTCAGATTTGATGAATTCCAATAATTGGATACCTAATCAGGGTTCCGAACCCACTCGCGACACTATTGATTGGAGCGCAAAAGAATTGTCAACAAAATGTAACAACTAATCTTGTTTTCTGTTTGTGCCATTGTATAAACAATCTCTGTCACTTTTGTCATCTAAATATAAAGTAATGTTGATATTCATTTGTAGAATGGACGCATTAAAAAAGCACCTTCCCGTTTCCGGGACTGAGGGATTACTTGAACTTGACACCCCCTTAGCCCCGACCCTTTTTATTGTTAACCTCTCATGTATTTTCTTAGTACTGTATGTTCTTTAGATTTCCGTAACACATATGTTGTAGCTTCCGTAGGTTCAACAACACAGACTGCACAACCAAGCGGGGGTGATTGGCAAGAAGAAGTTTACCAAAAGGTACTAAACTATTATTTTAAGCATGAAAATGAAACTTCCAATTCGTGATAACACAGAACAATAGGAAGAAAAAAAAACAAAAACCAAAATGAACTTCTCATATCATATCTAGAAGTGTTGATGCATCAATGATTCAAACGTTATTGTATGAGTGATTTCAAGGATACTAATGTTGTGATTATTTTGACTTTGTCCGTTTTAATTTGCAGTTGCAAACCATGAAAGAAAATTACATGCCAGATCTGAATGAAATATTACAGGAAATTGCTACGAGACTTCAGAAGGTATGTTCACGATTCTCTAGCTTTCTGATGCCACAAACACTAGTGTTACAATTGAAGACCAGATCCGAGTCCTCTTCTGGGAGCTTTTTTTATTTCAATTGTTCTGTTATGTGTTACATTTGGTCCGACAATGGGCCCAAAAGCATCTCCATCTTATGCAAAATGTTTTCCAACTGTTCCCACAATTGAAAATCACAATTTATACACCACTCCTCAAAACCAGATTTCAAAAGCAATGATGTTTAGGTGAGGTTGTGATTTATCGGTGTTGAAGGACGATCAGCATCATAGGATACTTGGCAGGCAATGTTGAGGGATGGTGTGCCTGGTTGTTTGAGGGAGAGAAAGTAGACGTGTGTGTTTGAATTTGTAAACCAATTGTGCAGGTTACCGTTACACGGTTTAATGAAAAGAATGATGTGAAATCTTATAGAGCGTACGCTTGAAAGCGTGTGTCTGACCGTGTAACGATAGCATTATTCAAGCCAGATTTTCATTTCAATTTTTATGGTTGATAAACACTAGAATCTGCAAAATGGTCTAGGCAGTAAATGAAAAAATGCCTCAACTCCTTTCTGAAATAGAATGCTTTATTCCTATGTCTTTGCCAATAATTTATTGGTGTTGCAGGACTAAAAATTAAAATTACTAGATGACAAAGGAGAAACTTTTTAGCTAAAAACATTCAAAACTTACTGTTTCAGTATGGCACAGGATTTATTATAAAAATAATACTGTAACTGAAGGGTATTAAAAATTCTTCTCAATCATATCAAGTTCACTTTTCCTTAAAAGCCATAATTATTGACATGTCTACTTTTACTCTGTTTAATACAATTTCCATTTTTTATTTATCAGTATGACTCTACTCCTCAACAGCCAAAGTCAGATCAGATAGAAAAGTTGAAGGTATATAGAATGGTGTTGGAACGCATGATATCATTACTACAGGTTCCTAAGAACAGCATTAGGCTTAGTTTGAAGGAAAGATTGGAAGCATATGAAAAGCAGATTGTAAATGTCATAAATTTATTAAGGACTAGGGAAGGCATCTCATCCTTGCAACCCGGACAGCTTCCCCCAACTCATAGGTCTTCGATGCCACAGTCACAATCTCAAGTTACTTCAGTACAGTCTCATGAAAATCAAATTATCTCTCAAATGCAGCCATCAAACTTACAAGGTTCTGCAGCAACTCTACAGCAGAAAAATTCTGCAGCAAAAGTTGCACCACCTATGCAGTCTTCTAACTCACATTTTGTGCTAGTAGATTCTGCGAAGCCCGTTCCTGAATTTTCATCATCAAGTGCTACCAATGTTGGGAAACATACACGGGATGCAGCAGCACCAGCTCAATCCCTTTCCATCGGCACTCATGGGATATCGGCCCTTCCTTTATTGGCAGAATTCAGTGGTCTAGATGGTGCATATTTTAATGCTTTCACAGCTACTTCTGGAAAAGATTTCGGGAAAGAATTTGGAAAAGAACTTTTGAAAGAAATAAGTTCAAAAAAGATTGAGAAGTTGAAGAAGGAGGTTGAGAGTGTCACGATGATGAAGTTACTCATCCTAGTTCTTATTTGTTTTTGGGTTTTGTGTGTTCTATTTTATAAGTGTATGTAACAAATAGAGGGAAACCATGAAAATAATTTCAAATTGCAATGCAATTTGATGTTCAATGATCAATGTATTTTGATATTAAGTTTAAGTTGATGTTCATTTATTGTTCAATGAATGTAAGACCTATGATTGTGTTGGTAACTATGTGTTTGGGCTTTTCAATGTATTTTTATTAAGTTATTTTGACACTGATATAGCCTTTTAATGTGCAATTTTGATGGACCAAAACAAACCAAGTTAATGACAAGATAATTACAAATCTAAACATATTTGATATAGCCTTTTAATATGCACTTTTAGCATTGATGCATAGTTACTGCATTAGAATTACTGATAACATTAATCTGCTGAGGAATTAAGGAATTTTGTTAGAGAAAATGGGTTTTTCAGACAAGGAATTGCTATTTTGCTAGTTTTTTGTGATTTAGAAGAGTATTTATAGGTAATAATAGATTGAGATTACCGAATAGTGAAACTAGAGAATTATCTAATCTTATATTGTATAACTTTAGTAATTTAATAATTATCAAGTTATAAATTAGAACAATTCATATGGATGTGAACTTAGATATTACTTACGATAATTTAGAATATTTGTCTTATAGTCCATTTATTTTTTGGAGTTGTTTCATAGGACTTTTAATTAACAAGACAATTTATATTTTTCACTTGTGTTTTTATTTTATTTTGTTTAATTTTTGTGTATTTTATTTTTTAATATTTTTTATTTTATAACTAAAAAATTATTGTATAGAAGTTGTGTTCTTATTTCTTTATTTTATTTATAGTGCTAATGTGATATTTTTTGTTTGTGTATGCGAAGTGAAGGATTTAATAAATTGTTGTTTGATTTAGAGTTCGAGAAGACTTTAACAGCAAATAGGTAGGAAATGTGTTTGGCTAGGCTAGAAGAAGAAGCAAGGAGAGAAACACATTATCCAACTTCTATCAAATGATGAACTTGTTTCAGACAAATTTGAGATGGTAAATCTTGAACAACATCAAGATTATGGTAAAAATCTTGATGGATTTCAACTCACAAAGCGTACTCTGAAATATTATAGTAAAAATACCAATAGAATGAAAATCACTCATGGATTTCAACCCACAAACTCATTTTCCTTCAACATCAAAAATTTAGTTCTTGTGGTCTCCAAAAAAACACAATATCAAAGAGGGGAATTCTTTATGCAAATGAACATTTGAACATAATAAATTTCAAATAGCAAATTGTTGAGAATTTTTTTTTCAATAATCAATTTTTAATTTTTTTTTTACAAATAACCATGTTTCGGAGAATACGTAAATAACCATGTTTCAGAAAACTTCACAAAGGAGGAGCTAACCCAGTCGGCGCCTGCACTAGCTCATTTGTCCTAGGCGTCATCTCAGTTGGCGCATGCTCTCTCTTTTAGCCAAGTGAAATGATACATGCACTCTAAAAGTGAGAGGAGGTGCCATCTCACTTGACTTATAGGGTAAAATGCATTTTTTTTATAAATAAGTCATATGTTTCTCCGTCATTCTTCACATTTTCGCGCACTGTCTTCTTATTTTTTCTCTGTTATTTGCGTCATTACATCTCCGATGATTTTTACCAGAGATGATTACGCTATTTCCTCGGCCACCAAACCTCCGATGAAAATAAAATTTTGGCACATTCACTCCATGGAGCGTCTGAAGAGAGAGTTGATGCGATGGCTAGAGGGAGACATCGAGAATGGAGAACAAATTAGAAGGATCCAGTGAATAAGAACAACCACGTCACTTGCAATCGGAAGACCTAATTTTTGGTTGGAGGAAGTCAAAACAGACAGACGTAATATTGATGATGCATAGGTAAGATGAAATTGTTTTAATCGTGTTTTTATTTGTTGTTTGCGCGAGGTTTGTTGTAACAAATGTATGTTTTGCATACAATTTTTATGTGGTTGAGCTAGTAGCTTGAGTCAGACAATTTTTGCGATTGTGTCCGACCTGACGACATAAACCATACTTTCTAACTAGCTTGTCCAGTGAGTCCATTTCAGTTGTGATGCACTTGCTTTTGGGACGATCCTTTTTATTCCTTCGCATTTGATCGTTGTGCCAGACTATTTTGCCGTTATATGCAGGTCAATAATCAGGTTTCGCTACCAATGGAAAGTTGTTGTTGTATACGTTGAGCAAGCTTTCAGACTTGTAAATGGGAGATAGAAGTTGTAATGCGTCTTGATAAGTATAGGCACATTTTCGCAATGACATGAGAGAAAGACATACGAAACGCTTGAAACTTGCCACAATCGCACCAACGAGAAGGTAGTATAACCCTATACTCTTGTCTTGGAAGCCCCTCGTTATGGTCGATTGTCTCTTTGACAATGAAGTTGTGGCTGTGTCGGTCGAACCGTATAACCAGATGGGTGTTGGCTTTGACTTTCTGCCTTAATATACTTCATGCAGCTTTCACTCCATAGTTGTCCTGATTGCAAGACAGCATTTCACATTTCACCTCTTTTGGAAAACAATGAAGCCATCCTAAAATATGTTGATTTAACCAATGCAGTTACTGGGAGGTTTTGTATGCCTTTGAATACCCCGTTCATGGATTCAATCAGATTTGTTGTCATGTGGCCCCATCGTTGTCCATTGTCGTATGACCTAGTCCATTTCTCCACCAAAATATTATCGATCCACCTACCTGCATCCAGATTTGACAATCTAATCTCGTTGCGATAGTGTTTGAACGTAGATTGTGTTAATGCATACCCTGCATTCATAACCGATTTTCTAAGAGTTTTGTCTTTGATCTCCCTCGTGAAATGTGTTTAGCTAGGCCAGAAGAAGAAGCAATGAGAGAAACACACACCCAACTTCTATTAGATGATGAATTTGTTTTAGACAAATTTGAGATTGTAAATCTTGAACAACATCAAGATTATGGTAAAAATCTTGATGGATTTCAACTCACAAGGCGTACTCTAAAATATTATGGTAAAAATATCAATAGAAGGAAAATCATTCATGGATTTCAACCCACAAACTCATTTTCCTTCAACATCAAAAATTTAGTTCTTCTGGTCTAAAAAAACACAATATCAAAGAGGGGAATTCTTTATGCAAATGAACATTTGAACATAATAAATTTCAAATAGTAAATTGTTGAATCTCTCTATAATTCATGTCATAGACTTAAAATGTTGTTGAAGAAATGTTCAATAGATGGTTTGGATGGCATGACACATGTACAAATTTTTACAGATGGCTTAAGAGCTCAAAGTCACATGATCCTTGACGTAATAACTAGAGGCACCATAAGGATCAAATCAAATATCGAAAATATGGGTCATACTGAATATTATACAATCACCGATATGGGTGCCATAAGGAAATGAATGTTAAAGTTTGCTACTCAAAAATCTCTGTTAAAGTTTGCTACTCAAAAAGCCATGTTATCCAATTAGCAAAAGCTTCATTTTGAGTTTGAGGAGTATTCTTGCTGAGCATCATTTCATATTTACTGAAATTGATTTTTGTCCATATGTGTTTCGACACACATTAAAAATGTTGAAGATATTCTTGGCATCCCTTTCAGCACTCTTGCAAAAAATTAAGCTATCATTTGCAAATAGAAAATGAGTAATTCTAGGAGCAGATTTAGCTATAACTATTCTAGAAATAAGAATATTATTGAGGGCGTTAGTAAGGAGGTTAGAAAGCACATGTGCACATATGATAAAGAGGTAAGGAGAAAGGGAGTCCTCATGTCTAATGCCTCTAGTAGGGGTAATTGTTTCAGAGGGATTGCCATTGATGAAAATAGGTAATAATATAGTAGTGATGTATCTCATGATAGTATTAGAGATCTTTTAGGAAAACCAATGTTTTTCAGTGTTGTAGATGAAATTTCATTCCAGGTTATCATAGGCTTTGTCCATATCCATTTGTATGGCCACAAAACTTTCTTTTCATGGTTAGTATGCTCCATGTAGTTGAAAACCTCATAAGTCACAATAGTATTGTTAGTGATGAGCCTTTTTTTTTTCCAAAGACACTTTGATTATCAATAATGATCGAAGGGATAATTTTTTTAACTTTGTTAGAAATGGTTTTGTGACGTAGTCGGAAGCTTTAGAGAATAACAAACACTAAATTTAAAATAAAGAACAGAGTTTCAAGCGCAAAACAGATAAGCGCTGAAGTCCACTAGAAATAAAGAAAACTTTAAATTTTATTATATGAAAGATAATCCTTATGATCATGTCAAAAGTTATTTTGGTAATAAGCTGCATGGTAACGTTACACAGGACTATGATCCTAGAATTAACAGGGTTCTGGGGTTTTGAATCTTAGGGGTTGTTTGGGAGTTGATTTTTGAAGGGTTTTGGAGGAGAAGACTTTGGAGGATTGCGTCTATACCTGAAAATGTGTTTGATATTTTAAAAAATTTAAAAACAATGTGATCTTATATGTTAATGTAGTATATTATTTTTTAAACTTTTTAAAAATATCACACATATTTTTAGATATAGACGCAACCCTTCAAAGTTTTCTCCTCCAAAACAATCTCTTAGAAATGAGGAATATGAAGGGGCGGTTGATACTTGATATCCTTAGAGTCTTTATCTATATTAAGAATATTAAGGCCATCATCAATTATGTCCTTTTTAACTATTTCTCGAAAAGATTGGTAGAAAATAGTTAGAATTCCATTAGGGTCATGAGCAACATTAAGTTTCATTTGTATCATAGCAATATAAACCTCCTTAGCAATAAAAGGGCTATCAAGTTGATCTTTCATGTTGTCAGAAAGCTTGTTCTTCATAACCTTGTTTATGAGGGGGAGTCTATGGGGTTTTTGGTTGTGAATTGTTCATTAAAATGGTTAATAAAAATGTTGAAATTCTGGCTGCAGATACTCAATGTCACGTTTAATGTTATGACACCGTATCTGACTTTCTATAAGACAGTAAATACAAAAACAGTAAAGAACACAGTCAATTGTTTACCCAGTTCAGTGTGCA